AAAAAAAAAAAAAAAGCTAACCCTTGCCAATTCTGATTCAGCTCTCTAGGGTAGGGCCTGGGAATCTGCATCTTACCCAGATGCTTATCCAACCTAGAGAAAAAAATGGGTGGGCTCAACAGCATAAAAGGATCACTATACTAAGTATCCTTTGGGTGATATATTGTGTTTTCTAGGTGCAAAAACCTTATAAACTAGATATCATCACTCCTCTACACCAAGGAGGAAGCAGAGGCCCCCACAGAGAGATAGCACATCCAGCCTCACAGGTTAGTCCAGGTTGGTCCACCTGACTCTGTATCTAGCTCTCTCTGCCCAGCCAGGATCTGCCCCATCCTACTGATGGCCCATAGATTATGTGTTCCCCTTGATCATATTCCATTTGGCACTTCCCTGATGTCTGTTTCAAACTATTCTATAATTATCTTCCCCCAACGAGATTAGAAATTCCTTGAGAGCAGGGACCACGTCTTCTCAAATGCAGCCAGCATTTCTACACCACCTAATGATGTACAAGGCCCAGGCAGGGGCCAGAGCCAGAAGCTGCCTTCGAGGAGCTGGGCTGCCCTGCTTTGTCACAGACATGCAAATGGACCAAGTCTTGGCTATTTTATGGAAAGGGCCCTGGCAGCTTCAGAAACCCAGGCCAGAATGACAAGGGACGTCAGTCTCCTAGTTCTCAGTCCAGTCCAGTCCTTTCGAAATGAGCATGTAATCAGAGTCAACACAGAATCTTAGCCCTGCCCGGAGTCCCAACTCATGAGGCAGGTATGTGAAGACAGAGGAGGGAAGCTTAACCTCTATCTTTACTGAGAAAGCAGTTCCTCCATAGCAAAATGTCTCAGTCATGGCCATGTGGCTCCCAGGAGTAGCTGGGGCCAAGCTGGTCTTCTTGGAGGAAGGCACTGTGGGTAAACAGGGAATCAACCTGGGCAAGGGAAAAGCCAGTGTAAAGGCCTTTGAGTGGGACAATGGGTCAGCAGTAGAGCATTCTTTCCCAAGACCCAGTACAGCCACTCCAGCTCCCTCTAGAGGTTATTGTCAGCATGGTCCCACTGCCTCCCCTTGCCTTCCTGAGGACCTTCTATTGAGTAGTCCTGGCATCTTTCTATCAGGCTCTCTCATTTTTGGGGCCACCGGCAGCCTCAACCATTAGAAGGCTCTTTGGAAGCAGAGAGCACACACACCTAGAAGTCAGAAAGACCTGAGTTCCATTCTCCACTGACATAGCTGTGTGACGCTAGGAAAGCGTCTGTACCTGTCTGAGCCCATGTCCATTCCTTGTATAGAGGTTTAAAACGATCAACTCCACAGCTCATTGTGAGAAGTAAGAAAGACAATTGTATAAAGCACGGGAAAGGGCCTGGCAGATGGTCAGGTGCTCAAGAGTGAGCAGAAGGCTTAGCACAACTATGGGTAACGTTATGCTTGTCCCCACACCATGGTGTCCAGGCCCGAAGGAGGGTTAGCCTTGTACTAAAGTATATTCTTCTGGCAGACTGTGGGCTCTCAGAAGAAAGGATAACTTTTAGGAGACATTTTCCACATTGCTATGGGCCAGACTCTGGGGCAGAACTACAGGGAGGCGAGGACACAGGTCAACAGTCTCTCCAGGCCTAGGCTGGGTCCTTGTGTTTCCCAAGTAGCTTGGCTCTGGGTCCCAGGCCAGTGGATGGAGCAGACTACCTCTTTTCCCTATAGTGTGATGACCATGGGGTTGGAGGTAGGGGGGAACACATGACATGGCATGACACAACAGCCCTGCATACTCACATCATCAACTTTTGGCTCTGTCACAGGGACCCATTTGTAGATTCGGAGGGATGTGTCACCAACGGTCACCCACTTCTTCTCCCTGTAGAGAATGAGGAAGAGCTCATTACCAGGGAGCTTTGGGCAAGGACTCTCTGCTCATGGGGAGTGGGGGTGGCAAAGGTCACAGCTGCAATGTGGTGAATGCCCAGAGGCTTTGATCACAAAAATATGGTTGCAATCCCAGTTCTTCTCTCATTGGTTGGGAAAGTTACTCAGCCAATCTGAACCTCATGCCACCCTCTTAGAAGGGGGAAAGCAAGCAACGACCTCACACTCTCCTGACAGCTGCCCTTCAGAATAGCATAGGGCATCAGAGAGCAGAGGCCTGGGCCCAAAGGGAGGGCCCCAAGGGGCACAGCAGAATGTGGGAGGCAAGCAGAGCCTGGCCTTGCAAGGAGGATCTCCACATCAATGTTTTGGTTCAGGCTCCATGTGCCCCCTCTGCCCTGCTGTTTTCTGAACTCCCACAGGACAGCGACAGGACAGTCCCCAGCTGTGAGACAGGTTAACAGATGAGAAGGAGAAAATGACAAGCTGTGAAAAGGAGAAGGGGTGATTGGTTTTATTAAGGATAATAATGGTCATCCTCTACATTTGCTAGATTATTGCTGTGGCCACCAAACTTGTGTTACAGGGTGTTACTTTCTGCCCTAAATACTCAGAAGCCATGTACCAGAGAGGGTCATGATTTGGGGAGAGCCACTAGAGGAAGAGCTAGGGTTTAAACCCTCCCTGACAGCTCTGGGTTCCAGCTTAGTCACCTGGGAAAGATAGGTTGAGGGTCCACTGAGAGTTCAGCAAAGAACCAAGAAACTCATAATGGTATGTTGGGGTCAGAGTGGGTGGCATTCTGGGACTGCTAGAAGTCCTTGGCAACAGTCCTGTTGCCTAGAACTACAGGCGACATGAGGAAACTTGCCTGTGAGTGCCTGACACTTTCCTCAGCTTCTCCACGCAAACTTAACCTTGGGTCTTCCCCTGAATGGTTACATATGATACTGCAATGTGGCACACCTCCCTGCTGCATCACCTTGAGTCTTCTGGGGAAGTGGGGGTGTCAAGCACATTCAAAACCTGCTAACCAAAAGCGCACACCCCCATCCCCAAACTGTACCCACTCAGCTCTCCATGTTCTTGTTAGGGGAAGCAATGGCTTCTTTATACTGTCAATGACCATTTCTAGTGTCTTCCATGTGCTAAGCACTACACACATGCTCTGATGTTTATGGAACTATGTGTGGCAGCAAGTATCACCTTTCCCACTTGACAGGTCAAGAATGTGAGGCCCAGGGAGGTCAACTCACAACACCAGGGAGAGAATCCAAACCCCTGGCTAGGCCCTACCCATACTCTGTTCAGCAGGGAAAGCATGAAGTAAGGGCAAATATCTGTCCTGCTACCTGCCTCCTGCCTCCTGCCTCCTGCCTCCTGCCTCCTGGAGGCAGAGTGCACAAGCCACAGGCCCAATCTTTCATTTTCTCCATTCTTAGTTTGCAGAAGGTACCTGAAGGGACAGGACCATTCCCAGGAACATCTTCAATGACAAGCAGAGACACAATCCACAACCATTGTGAATGGGGGCCAGACTACATGTCAGCCAAGTGGGATCTCCCCCCCGCCCTTTTCCCCAAAAGGCCAAGAGAGGAATTACTGTCATCCCATCTTACAGATGGGGAAACAAGAGGCCCAGAGAAATGATGTGATACCACTGGTGCATGGTCACACAGACCATAAGTGGTGAAACAAGCTCTAAGGTGACGGCTTTGACCCCTGTGACCTCATCCTGCTGTTCTGCTGCCCACGAAAAGAAAGAGCCCATGCAGCCAAGTAACAGAAGTTGGACAAAGGGCACACCGTGCTAGAATCCATGAAAATGGTCAGAGCTACTCAGTACGCACAAGCCAGCAACAGCGTCCTTGGCCTAAGCCCTAGTAAACCAACCAATTCAAAGTATGTATTAAAAAATTTTTTTTTAAAAAAACTTTTTTTATAGTAACCGACCTGCATCATGAACACTATGATTTAGGTTAGAAAGCATGTCAGAGCTCTGGGCCTTGCAGGCTAACAGGACCCCGACTGAATGTCTGAAGTTACCAGGCACTGGGGCCACTGACTACATGCAGCCAGGTTCTGTCTCGGCTAGCGACCTCTTTACCCAGCGTACTCAAGTCACCTTAGAGATAGAAGCTTCTTCAGCACTATCACCAGGTATGGACACTGGAGGGACTTTGGGATACAGGTAAGAAAGTTATGAACCTGACCTTGGGAGCTGAGCATGGTAGTGCACACCTGTAATCCCAGCAGTATGTGATCCCAGCACATGGGAGGCTGAGGCAGGAGGATTACTAGTTTTAGGCCCCAGGGGGCTCTGGGCTGTAGTAAGATTAAAGTAAAAATAAAACAGTGGGTTGCCGGGCGTGGTGGTGCATGCCTTTAATCCCAGCACTTGGGAGGCAGAGGCAGGTGGATCTCAAGGCCAGCCTGGTCTACATAGTTGAGTTCCAGGCCAACTGGGGCTATAGGGAGACCTTGTCTCAAAAAGACCAAAAAAAAAAAAAAAAAAAAAAAAGTGGCTGGCGAGATGGTTCACTGAGTAAAGGCGCCTGCCACCAAGCCTGACTACCTGAGTTTGATACTCAGGACCCACATGGTAGGAGAGAACCAACTCCTGAAAGTTATCCTCTAACCACCGCACATCCACAGTGGCACATGCATGCCCCCACACATACATACACATACGCAAATACACCAAAATAAAAATAAAATAAAATAAAATGTTAGAGGAATAAAATTGAACCTGACCTTGGGATTGACCTCTGACCTAGGCCTTGGCTCTTAGCCCCCCAGGAAGACAGAGCTCAAGTGTAAGTCTCTGAGGGAGCTCCTGGGAGAAGGGAAATAGGATTTCACAAGAGCATTGGCTCAGGGAACGCCTGAGATTTCCTACAATGCTCCCAAGCCCATCATGCAAGAATACACACAACCAGCCACTCTGTGGATGGGGGCACTAGACAGTTTCCAGGACCTTACAGTTAGGGAGACAAGTGACCAACAGGCATATTTTGTTTGGTCTGCACAGTACTTTAAAAAGTTGAATCCATTACCAAAGTAGAAGAAAAAAAACAAAAACAAAAACAATATTCCACATAAAAATCCAGATTTCTGGCTATTCTCAAAATGATCTGGGCCCACATGCCCCTGAGCCACAGCCTGTTCCCACCCCCCATATAGGCACCACATTCAGGCATTAGGCCTGGGATTCACCATAACCACAGAGCTGCACCTCAACCTACCCACAAACTACCCTGTGTATACTGAGATCTTAGCTTCCTCTGCCTATTAGAATTGTGTTCCTGAAGTGAAAGGATGAAGGTCCCGGACATGGGAATATAGCCCCAAAGTTCCTCCCCAACTCAAACTCTTATAGAAGCTACAAGTGCCCATCTCAGATTCTCTAGGCCCAGGCCAATTTCTTTTTCTTTCTTTCCTTCCTTCCTTCCCTCCCTCCCTCCCACCTTCCTTCCTTCCTTCTTAATTTTTGTGTATTTTATACATACAAGCATCTTTATGCCCCTTCCCCCTTCCCCTCTGGCACCCTCCCATAGCCCCCTACTGGAGTTCATACACTTTGTCATTTGTATTAAGGCCAGGCCAATTTCTAATGCTCTACTGGGTCCAGGTTCAAGAGCACTATCCACCTTAAGGGGCCCTGCTACTCCAAAAAAGCTCTATAGGACTTCACTATAGGGCTTGTCTTTATCACTTTAGGAGGCCTGGGTCCGCTCTACCTGGCAGGAAGGTACCAGTGCTAAAACTAGAGGAGTCAAGAAGCCCCAGGTTCAGATCTCCATCTCTCTCAGGGCTAGGTGGGAAGTCTCCTAAGAGCTGGCTACTTTGTCTGTAAAGCAAATCACTAAATGAACCCTCAGGTCAAGAGCTGAAGGGTCCTGGACTGACATCTATTCAGCAGCTCAAACCTTACTCTCTTCTCTTCTCTTCTCTTTTCTCTACTCACACTGGGTCTCCTAACCCTGGCCCAGTTTCCCAAAAAGGGACCCACCATTTTGTTTTTCTTCAGCCATCTTCTGGCCACCTCACATTCTACCAGCCTGCCTTGCTGGAATACCCGACGCCAGCTGGCAGCAATGGGTAGGGAGGCCCCAGACAACTGCTGGCTTCTTTTGTGGGGAGGATGGGGGCAGCAGGGCCTGCCAGGAGGGGGTTGGATCTTAAGAAATGCCACCCTAGGCTTATGGGCTGAAGGGAATCTCAGCCCCCTGGATGCACACATGCCTTGCTACCTTTGAGTTTCAGATAGATAGATAATTATTTTTTGATATAAGTATGTCTCAAACATTGCATGGGATATATTTACACTAAGGTGAGGTGCATGAACACTAGGGTTCAAACCCAGAGTCCCTCACATGTTAAGCTCATGTTCTATCACTAAGTAACACCTCCAGCAGAAACATTTTTTTGTCCTTCCTTCCTTTTTGTTTTTTGTTTGTTTGTTTGTTTTTGTCTTTTTGAGACAGGGTCTCCCTGTAGTCCCAGCTGGTGGCCAGAACGCACAAGGTAGACCAGGATGGCCTTGAACTCACAGAGATCCACCTACTATGCCTCCCAAGTGCTGGGATTAAAGGTGTGTGCCCCCTGGCTATTTTTGTCTTTAGAGACAGGGTGAACAACAGGCCAGGCTTGCCTCAAACTCACTAGGCAGCTGAGGATGGACTTGAACTGCTGATCCTCCTGCCTCTACCTCCCAAGTGCTGAGATTACAGACATGTGCCACCACACCCAGAAAGAAAAGTTAACTTTTAAAATATCATTTTGTTGTTTATCCAAAATTTACATTTAACTGGGCGTTTTGTATTTCTATTTGCTAATTCTGGCAACCTTGTGTCCCAGTCAGCGGTGAAATGCATGGTTGGTGGCCATAGTTAATAAACAACCCCAAAGTCTCCAGCATTGACTGCAAGACCCACAGTAAAGACACAGCAAGGCCAAATTCAGCTCCTCAAGAACTGAGGAAACCCCCTCCATTTTTGCTTAAAAGGGCGAAAAAAGCAAAATTTCTACAAAGTCCATTTTACAACAAGGACAAGGGCTCCTGTGTGTTCTGGTGACATGACCTTACTAGTTAGTCCTCAAATGCCCTAGAAGTGGAGAGGGACACAGAACCCCCTGGTTGCCAGGGTTAGAGAAGTGTTCTGCCCAAGGTCACAGCAAGGAAGTGAAGTACAAGCTAAACCAGGAGATCCTGAAGCCTGAGGTCTTTAAAGGTCATGATGTGCTTATCCTACCCCCGCCCCCCCCCCAAAAAAAAACACAGGGAAGAAGGTAGCAGCATCCCCATTCCAATCCCAGGCCTGGCCTGCAGTGGGTTAGACAGGATGGATGCCTCCAGGCCTGCTGCTCTGGGGCCCGCAGGGTGGAAAGCCCCATCCCTCCATCTGCCCGCCCTGCAGAGCTGCTGGCAGGCCCAGCGGCAGCTGTCACAGGGTAAGGAGCCTGGGCCGGGCTGGGAACCTTGGGCATGGGGCCCTGCCACGCCTCCAGGACCAGAGAAAGGCAGCTTGCACCAGCCCCTTACTCCTGGCGGGCGACAGGCATAAGGGACTCGACCCCCAACACCAGTTCTTTCTTTGCACAGGGCTGAGCCCTGCAGGGGGGCCCACTCCAGCCTTCCCTTGGGAGTTCCACAGGGCTGTGGACTGCTTTCCCTGTGTGTTTCGGCCTGCAGCTGTTTCTGCCATTTTTAAATGGCTCCAATTGGGCACTGGGCGCCTTGCTCAGCAGGGGAGCTCCTGCGGCACCCAGACTTGGATCTCAACTTTGGAAAGCCTCCCCTTCTCACGGTTGTGAAAATTCTTTGTCCCATTGGAGCCAAACCCAGCCCACGGCAGGCATCCGGCCATCCACAGACAGCTCTTTCCATAGGAGGCCCGGGAGCACGTGGACTTTATTGATTTTCCCCTCGCCTTTTTTGTTGGGTTTGACTCAGAAAGGACAGTTAACTTGTGACACCGCCAGGCCGGAGACAGACCCCCAGCGGTCTGTTGTTGTTGTTGTATAAAAACCTAGGCGTCACTCAAGAAATGACACCCCCAGATAGAAACAAGAGCCCGCAGCCGGGCCTGGCCAGTTTCTATAAAGAATCAGGACCAGCCCGCGGGCGCTGACACTTGGGGACACCCACGCAGCTGCTCCTCTCCCTCTCGGACCCCGTGAAGCCGTGGGAAAGAAAAAAACGTTAAAAAGTTGAAATCAGAGAGCCGGGAGTTTTCAACAAGTCCGACCCAACCTGGTCGACTGCTGGCGCCTGGGGCCTGGCTTCTGGGGCCGCCTAAGAGTCGGACCCGACGAGGCCCGAGAAAACGCTCCATGCTGCTAATTATAACGAGGCCACTCCGGGCACGATCTAATTTGAGCTGGAAACACACGCACGGCCCACACCGAGTCTCGCGGTCCCCCAACCCCCAGTGCAGAGAACAAAAACAACGGCTCTCCACAAAACAAACACCGGCTCCGGCTCGGGGAAAGGCAGACTCAGCTTGGGACCTACTTCTGGCCCCAAACAGACAGCGGCCCCGAGACCCCAAAGCCCCGGGCGCCGCGCCGAGCGGGTGGGAGACGCGGGTGCCTCGGGCGCTCGCCCCCATCTTCTTCCTCGCCCAGAGCCTTCGCTCCAGGCAGCCCAAAGCGCTAAATTTAAACGGCTCGCGCTCTGCAAACTCCGCAGACTGGAGGGCGCCGGGGCCCGGAAG